GAGTGCCGGCGCCTTCCCTGCATGCACGTCTTCCACAAGGAGTGCATCGATAGATGGATTGCCGTCAAAGCCACCTGTCCACTTTGCAACCTTAAGCTCGAGGATTTGCTCAGAGAACAACATTCGTTGGAGAACGGCGAAGAGCCAACACCGAACCTCCGTCGCTCCCCGTCCCGCTCCCGCTCTCCTCCCAGGCCTGTATACAGACCCAGCGGCCCACCAAGTGGCCCCCCGGGCGGTCCACGCAGAAGCCGATGGGACCTTGGTCAAAACGACCCCTGGCGCTCCTACCGACCCCAACGCCGTTTCGGTCCGCCCGGTGCACGGCCCGTTGCTGGAAGTTGGCCCGCTAATGGCTGGGTCCAAAATCCAATGGGCCAGATGGGTCAGAGGCCTTGGTCTGCGATGATGGGGGTGCAGGTGCAAAACCAGTCCTTCCAGCAGATCGTAACGCCAGGGCCCATGTCTCAAAGTCAGGGACGGCCCATGCCAGCACCGCCTCCGCCAGCACCCGAAGCAAGACCGCCAGCATGGTCTCCTCCCATGATGCCGGTGCCTGTTCCCATGCCCGTTTTCCAAGCCAGGCCGGTCGTTCCCCCAGGCTTTCTACCGGGCGCCCCACCCATCCCACCGCCGCCTCCACTGGTGCGACCTGTGCTACCGCTGCCCCGATCACGGACGCCTCACGAAATGCGAGGACCTGATCCGCAATGGTAGCTTGTCGAGGTAGCTTTGCACTCTATGCCCCTGATCCCCCAAAGTCCTCCCAGAACCCCATACGTCTCTACCTAGTCGTTCTAGCTGCTAGCTTGCAGATGGCACAGAAGCGCTGGCCGCCACCCGTCAAAAGCCGGTGCTTCAATACTGACTCGCAAGGCTCCAAGTCCTAAAGCTTTCAGAGAGGCAATGAGCATGCCTCCAACCTTCCAGCTTCTGCTGAAGCCAAGCTGTCATCATGCCAGCATGCAAGCTTCTACTAGATGAATCTGGGCCACTAACTTAAAATTCATGCCCGAGGCCGCAGAACCCTTGACTCTAGCTGAGATGTAGCCATCCGTGGTCGTTTGCGTGGTCAGGCTCTCATGACATGCTTACTGCACATGCTTACCGTTCACTTCAACAAGTGGCTGCCGTTTCTCAGGCAATGTGCTCTTTCCTTCCTGAATGCACCCTGAAGATGAAACACCTCCAAGCGTTTGGGGGTGCATATAAACGGCAGTTAGTTCTGCCGTTTCTCAGTGACCGCCGTCCTTCCAGGCGCAGATGCAGGCGCAAGCGCAGCAGGCGGGCTGTGAGGGCCCGGTGCTGCACGTTGTTGACCTCACTGGAGATTCTTCGATCCGATTCCGCAGATTTTGGGCAGGCTGCTGAATCGAAAGTTCTGGGATGTATGGTACTGAAGCATGCTGAAAATATAAACCTCGGGCGCTCTCGCCACAAGGACCCCAAAAGGTTGAGATGCCTTCAGTTCACATGCACGAGTTGTTAGAGGGGACCCGCAGAAAGAGTAGGAGCCTCTACACAACAAATCGTATCTTCAACTACCCCCACGTGCACCGAGGGGGCTTCTGCCTTCAGAGCGAGATGCTTATGGAAACTAGGGCAAGATGTTGGGCTTGCATGTTTTTTAAATGGTTGGAGTCTGTGGGTCTAGCTTTTGAAATTAGCTGTGTCGCGTGTTTGATTGCAACCAATCACCATTCCCAACTTGTAAAGCTCTGGAAGCGTAAACAAGAATTTCCAATCCGGCTTGAGCCATCTCAGCCACTGTGCAGAGATCAACCTGTCGGACCAAACAAGGAATATATGGCTACTACTGCTACTACTACTACTACTACTACTACTACTACTACTACTACTGGCAAAGCTACTTCTACTTCTACTGCTCCTCCTGCTGCTGCACTAATCTTACTACTACTCCTGCTACTGCTAGCTACCATTGCCAGCACGAACAAGAGAAACTAAGCAGTACAACCAACTCAAGCTGCAGCAAGGTAGCTGTGATATACTCAGCTTTTGATACGACCAGCTCAAGCTGCCCGGCCTTGTAAACATTCACGATAGTAGTATAATATGCAGGCCTATACTATTTTTGGGGCTCTTTATTCTGATTATAGTATACTATACCCCCAACATCCTCTTCTAATCATTGAGGCCCCTACCTTAGCCGGAACCATGGTGCTATAAGACAAGCCAATGCCTCCGACTGGGCCGGCTCTACCGGCGCCGCCGGCAGCGCTGGCGCCCCTGGGACTCCAGGAGTGGTGAGTTTTGAAAGGGCCCAGAAGTTTCGGGTTTAGGGTTTAGGGTTTAGGGAGCAGTTTTTGATGTTTTTGGTATAAGACAGTGCTAGTTACGACGGCGGCTGCTGCGACAGCTCCTGATGGCAGTATCCGCATTTTCCGTTTAGGCTTCGTCTTCTCTTGACATGACTGCTCCTTCTTTTACATCTAGCTGGCTTGTCTTCTAGAAATCCTTGTTGTGGCCATACGCTTTTTGCGCCAATAACCCCCGCTGCATTACGTGGCTGTTGCTGCGCCGGCAGGATCGAGAGAGGAACGGCTTCATCTGCATCCTCCTCCTAATTATCGTCTTTGCATCTCCACCTTGTCCTTCTCTTCCACCCTCGATCTTTGTGAGAAGCCTGCTCCTTATCATGTGTCCTCATCTTCCTTCCCTCGCCTTCTTGTTGCGTGTGGAGCAGCGATGTGAGCATGAGAGTGGGACGATGGATTCGGGCCGGGAGGTTGCCAGGCCTCCAAGGCTCTCTGAAACCGATCCGAAATCCTGACATCCATACCCGCTCGAAGCTCAGGGTTTAGGGTTTAGGGTTTAGCGTTAAACGAGAAGGCCCTGCTGTTGAGGTGTGTTCGCTGGCACACAATCCAAGCCCATGCTGAAAAAGGGTTTAGGGTTTAGAATGTAGGGGATGCCAAAACGGGTTTAAGGTTTAGAAACCCTCAGTCCTGTATCCCAACCTGCCCCCTGCACAGAGGGCAAGACTCGAAACCCTAAACTCCGCATCCTGGGCTTCCGATGGTATGGGCTCATGTAGGGGCCTTAACCATTGGAATAGGGTTTTGGGGGTTGCTTATTATAATTATGATATAATATACCCCCCAAACCCTACTCTAATTATTAAGGCCCCTATATTAAGTCCAGCCCGAGGCGCGAATTTGCCACGCGGAAGGACAACTTCCTCCGCAAGCCGGACAAGAGTCCCAAGGCCGACATGGATTTTATGTGAGGGCCGAAAGGATTTAGCTGCCTGTGCTCTTTAGCATTCGGCTTCTGGGCGGTTTCGGTGGCTGACAGGGGTGGGAGACTTATCGCGTGTACAGGGTCTTCGCAGGGTTTCTTGAGGGCCTATAGGGTTCCCGGCTTGCTTTTCTTAGAAATAGATGATTCCTTTTTTCGATTCCTATGGGAGCTTGTACTTCTTCTGTGTGTAGGATGCAGGGGCCGAAAGCCTCACTTGTCGGATGCAGCAGGGTGTTAGGCCTCGGCGGCAACAGAATGATGGACCGTGGTGGAACCCTTACCGAAGCATAAGCACCTCGTTACGGCATGACGGAACCTGAACCGAAGCATAGACACCTAGTTACGGCATGATGGAGCCTTTACCGAAGCGTAGACACTTAGTTACGGCCCCGATGCTGCAACGGCCACACGCCACGAGGAACGATTGCTTTCTTTAGGACGGTGTTTGTGCCCAGTATTCCCAACCACAACAAGCCTAAGCCGAAGCTCCAGTGGATATCCTTGAACACCAGTACCACAAGAATCCTACCTACAAAGACCTCATTTAAAGCAACAAGTTCATAAACCGCAACACGAATAAAACATGAACACTTCTGTACAAAAAAAGGCCGGAAAACCCGAAGCCCCACGCCTTCTGCCAGGGGGCCTGGGATCCCAGAGTCTCCGAAATCTGCGAGGAGCTGAACAGAAGGTGCGCTTGGGGCTCCACGAGGGCTCTATAAGCGTTCTACAGATTCTACAAGGGTTCGTGAAAGGGCCCCTTATTGGGTTGCAGAGGGCTCTGCAGTAGGGGAGATTTCCAGGGCTCAGGGGTCAGGTTTTGACAGGTTTTAGGAGTTTCGGGCTCGTATCTAGGGTTGGCCGGAAAGTTTATTGTCTGCTGCTTGGATGTTTTTGGGCCTCTGATCGGATGACGCTGGCAGGGATGACTTTTTCACCACCTCCTCTTGCTCCGGACGCTGTTTTCTCTGGAGGGGCAGGCGCGTTGGGGTCTTTTGTCACGCGTTGCCCTCGCAGTACCTGCTGGAGTGAAAGGGGCGCATGCAGCGTACTTGTGAAGCCTTTCCAAGCACTGGTATCCCTAAACCCTAAACCCTCAACCGAAGTCTCTGAATTTTCTGAAAGACCGGCTGCTGCTAACCGGGGCTGCCGCCTGCCCATTTCGTCCCACCTCGGATTGCCTACTTGGAGGTTCATGGGTA